AGTTGGAGTTTATTCACACGTCCCTACAGTGGGTAATGTTTTCAAGAAACATTGAACACTGCTGCCACATATGACACAGGAGAAAAAGAAAAGACTCTGAACCCTTTCTTTGCCATTATATAAAAATAGTGTTGCTGCAAAAGTATAAATGAGGCTTACTCATAAGACAACTCAGATCTGAAGCTACACAGGAATCTGCTGCCAAAGTGCAATAAAAAAGACAAAATTAATAGAATCAAACCCTTTTTTTGTTGCATTTGATTAGAGTATAAAAAGAAATGCCTGTAAAATAGGATGCAAGCAACACTAGCTTCTTAACCTGAATTGATGATAGACTATAATCAATTTAAGTTTGCATTCTTATACCATTTTGTACAATAATTATAATGAATAAGTTCAAACAAACTAAAACTTACAGCTGATTAATAACGGTATCTAACTTGAGTTGTTATCATATCAAAAACCTGTTGAAATGCTACTGTTATTTTTACTGTCCCCCAAAAGCGCGTCGGCACGATAAGATGCTCTGGTAGCAGCCTTGCTCTTGTTGTTGGGCCGGGTGAAAATGGACTGCTGTGCATTTAGCTGTCCTTTCAGGCCCCTCCTCTTTTGGGAGCGTAGGGCAGAATTAGGAGGGAATTCCGTCTCGTAGCGTTTGTGCACTGTTTTGAAATGCCGCTCCTAAATTACCCTTCTTCGATAAAGCCACGCTCGCATTGCAGATGAGACAGATGGACTTTGAATTGGAATAGATACAAACATAATCATCCTCCCACTCGGAGTGAAAATTATATATTTTGGGCTTTTTTGCTTCTGCCGTAATTGCGGTCTTGTGTGTGTGCGGACTGTCACTCCTGTTGACACGGGCTGCTTCTCAGGTCGATTAAATGAAATCCTTGCTTCCCTGACTTGCGTCGTTTCCCTGCGTTTAGTCCCTCCCACCAGGGAAGCATGGAGGGACGCAAGGAAACCACGAGAAGCAGGGAAATTAGTTTTAAGAGCAATGGGACGTCCTTTCCTCCGGAGCGTCACGTGAAGCGACGTCCGTTTGTGATGACGCTGCACAGCTGTTCGTCTGGCAGCAGCCAGCTCTGTACCCGTTATTTCCACAAACACCCCCGCCTCTGTTAGTACACATTTACTGACACAAACATTAGTATCATCTGTTGTAGATCCACATACATGAAATAAAATAAGAAGTCATTCTCAAAAAAGATAAACGCCATTCTTAAAATGTATAAACGAACAATAGTTAGATTAATATTGATTAGAGTGCACAATAGAAATAAAATAATTGAGAGAAGAAAAAGAGATATGTTATCTATCAAAACCCAGTTAGATTAACATTCATTGGATTGCACACGTTGTGTGTTTGTGTGGATATGTAGCACATTAACATTTTAATAGCACTTAATGACTGACTGAATGGAAATGACAATAAATGAAACTGTAAAACGAAAAAAGCGATCCTGAAAATGTTTCCGTTAATGATTTTTGACCACTTTTGTTCAGATCACATATTTGTAACTAAATGATACATTAATTGAAACAAAACACGGTATAAACTGAGGAGTGAGTCCCGTGAGGTTCATGTATTTTCTTCACTCCGCTGGGGTATTGCTCTCATGTCAAGAAGCATTAGATCAGTGCATGCACTGCCTCGTCCAATCAGTGAGCGATACACAGTAAGGGGGCGGGGTGAGTATCTGAGGGTTTCATCGGAGGATGGTCTGGTGGTTCCTCGGTTATCGCTCCTCCATTATCGCTCCTCGCTCCTCGATCCTCGGTCCTCCGGCAGAAATAAGAGCCATGGGACGGTACTCAAGATGGCGCAGGCAAATCAACTTCCGGTGAGACCGAGGACCGAGGAGCGAGGAAATGAAAATAGTCGACCTGAGAAGCAGCCACGGACAACGTCAGCGAAATAGTGCCCACTGCTCACCAGCCACGCCCCGACACATGGGGTCATGCCGGCCAATCACAAAGCTTTGATGCGTTCAAGTGCATTATTCTGGCACAGGAAGATTTTGTTATAGGACATTAACGATAAAACAGAATATTGTTGTTCTTTTTTTAGACACATCTCGCGATCGACTGGGAATCTCCCCGCGATCGACCGGTCGATCGCGATCGACTGGTTGGGCACCCCTGCCCTAATGTCATAACAATAGCATTTAATCACATATTTTGTATGCCTTATTTTCACAGGTAAATGTAACATATTACTTTTACAATTCAGTTTTATTTATAATATTACACATATGCCAGTTTATTTTCTACTTTTTAATTTCTAATTATGTGCAATGCCTTGTTTTTTTTATCAACTGCTGCAATGATAACAATTCCAGATTTTGGATCAAATAAAGTAGGCTACATCTTATCTTAATTGTAATTCAATAAATCTTTAATTATTTTGAAAATGGACTGTCTCCATAATGAATTAATGATGATGTCAGGTGTAATGAACTTGACACATGTATGTCAATATTGAAACTTGTGTTGAGTTCATTTATATTTCTCTGATCAAGTCTTATAATATAATGTTGTTATTGATCCAGAAGTACCAGAACATTTATCTTCACTGTCAAAACAAATCTGTTCAAAGCTGTTCATAATATACATCAACGACATTTGCAGAGTATCAAATATATTGAAATGTATTTTATTTGCAGATGACACTAATATTTTTTGTTCTGGTGACAATTTGAAAGAGCTAATGGAAGTGATAACAGCAGAAATGATTAAAGTAAAACATTGGTTTGACACAAACAAATTATCATTAAATATAAGCAAAACAAAGATTATGTTATTTGGAAAACATAAAACAAATCCACAGATACAATTAATACTAGATAACATACACATAGAAAGAGTATATGAAATTAAGTTCCTTGGTGTGGTTTTAGACCACAAAATCAGCTGGAAACCTCATATCACTCATGTAAAAGCAAAACTGGCTAAAACTATCGCAATATTGGGAAAAGCCAGATACATTCTGGACTATAACTCATTGCATACTCTATATAACACACTAATATTGCCATATCTGATTTACTGTGTGGAGATTTGGGGAAACACGTACAAAACCAACCTACAGCCGTTATGCACATTACAAAAAAGGGCTATAAGAGTTATCAATAATGTTGGATATCTTGAACACACTAATATATTATTTTTGAAGTCACACATATTGAAGTTCATTGATCTGGTTAAATTTAAAACGGCACAAATCATGTACAGAGCCAGACATAATCTACTTCCTCGGAAATTAAAAACATTGTTCGTAGACAGAGAGGGTGGGTATAATTTGAGAGGAAATCTACATTTTAAACAACTCAAGGTCAGAACAACTCTGAGAAGTATGAGTATAACAATCTTTGGGCTGATTTTATGGAATGGTTTGGAGCAGGAGTTAAAACAAAGCACAAGCATAATTCAGTTTAAAAGGATGTACAGAAACACTTTTTTGGAAAAATATGAGAATGAAGAAAGGTGATTGAAGATGAGAAATTATTGTATATGTATGTATCAATGTAAATGTATGTAGGAATAACTTGCATAATGATTTAAAGGACAATCATTGATCAAGTAAGTGGTGGGAATTAATAAGCATTTGCTTCCTCCTACTCCCTTTCGGACACATATGATTTATTATTATTATTAATATGAAGACTTTTTTTTCTTTTTTTTGTTGAATATACAAATATTACCATGAATGTGGATAAATACTGTATTATAACAATACGGTATTCTGTTTTTCACATTTGTTATTTTTTAATCTGTTCGAAATAAAGACTGAAAGAAAGAAAGAAGAAAGAAAACGTGGTGCCTATATTACCCACAATGCAATTAAAGGAGAGTTACGAGCTACAGAGGTCAGCTACATTTACTTCTTTCTATAAGGTTGCAGTCGAATAGTCAAAAAATCAGCTCCTCTATCCCTATCGTCTATCCCTTGACCTCTGTGTGAAACGTCACGGGGTTAAGGGATAGTGGAAAGGAGAATTCAAAAGGACTTAGGAGAAGAGACTGCGGTACTTTAGAGAATCCGAATGCACTTTCACTATCTAACGTGTTTATGATGCGCCAGCGGACGTCATTTTGTGCGTCTGCTGCTGCTGTGGGGAAACTACAGTTTTCTATACAGAGGACTACAACATGGATGTATAATAAGAACGAGGGACTGTAAACTCATCTAGAGACTCTGCACCGTGCTCTGATGCTGTTGTTTTATGCTTTATGAACGTGGACAACAGAGAAACATATTCTTCAGGACCAAAGTTGGAATTGAAATAAAAAAGGAAAGTGAAACTTATGCTCGTCACCCTCTCCCTCCGGTCCACATTAATACAAATGATCCCAATACGTATGATTGTATGTACTATGAAAATATCTTAAAATCAATACAAATGTATTTATTATAAACGTTAGTCCTTAACATCTATCACTGTGTATATCACCATTCAAACATCTTTAAAAAGTTGAACAAACCCCACACAGCTCAGTAAAGACTGTGAAATGTTGACTTTATTTGATCATTTCAGTAAAAAGTAACGGTCATATTTCTCTTTTTGATTATAATACTGATGAACGTTCAAAACAAAGCACTTTGGCAACTTACCACATACGTTTTAAAATGCTTAATAAGCACCGTAACTTTCATGATATAATTTCTCGGTCATAATCGGTTGTTTCCGTGAACGGCCGACTGTTGTCTGACGGCAAATGCTGCGGCTGCAATGCATTGTGGGGCAGCATTTTCTCCTCTCCTTTCGGTTAGGGAGGTCCAATGGTTCCTAAGCTAAAGGAGGTTATAAAGGAAGTTTGAAACCTCCTTTCCTTTCATTTATAGAATTCGAACGGCACAAAGCTTCCTCTGGAGTCACAAAATACTTCCCCCCCCAAAATATGCAGATAGGACTCTCGAGCACACAGGAATCCAAAAATATAGTTCCCCTTTAATCTAGCACTATTTCTTCTTTTGTCTCTATATTTAACAGCTCTTCTACCAGGTGAAGGGAGACATGTGTCTGAAGGTGATAGAAAACGGGATTCACAAGGATGTGAACATCAAGGAGGGAGAGGTAAGCTTGAATAGGGTTCTGTTTTTTCGTTTTGGTAAAGTTATATCCTTCATAATAAGTCAAATACTACATATTATTATTATAACAGTGGAGTTCATCTTAAGGCAGTGCAATACAGTTTGTCTCTGCCTCTTTCTGTGGTTAAGGATGTTCTTCTTATCCAAATAAACTAGTCTTGTTACAATGCTCCAATGTGTGTCTCCTTCAAACATCATCTTTTTCTTCATTCAAAGATGTTCCTGCTGCCAGCGAGGACCCCCCACTCCCCCCAGAGACAGGCCAACACTGTGGGACTGGTGGTGGAGAGGAGACGTCTGCTGACGGAGAACGACTGCCTGAGGTTAAATATCGTACATCCTTATCTTCTTCTCCCTTCTCGTCTTTTCTTTGTTCCACATCTCTTTTTAAGCAGATCATATCAGGGAATAGAGGAAAAAGATCCTGACAAATTAACCCAATTGATATAGCCTACCAGGAAAATCTAAACTTTAGAGACCAGCTTTTCTCAATGCAATACAAAAGAGCAGTTCTGAGGTTAAGAAGAGCCATTGATTGTTTTACAATTCAAATTAAAGTCTCATGTCTGTATATTCAAGTCCCAAGTCAAGTCACAAGTCCTTAACTTTGTTTTTCGAGCCCTTGACCGCTTTATGCAATTTTTTTGTTACGGTTAACCAACATGATTTTGGTACAAAACAATATCATTTTTCTTATCAGTTCTCTTTATTGGGAATAATTTGGAAATATTGTGAGCAGATGACGCTGATCTGGAATCACACTCATGTCTTGAATGTCTTGCAAGCAATGTTTCTATAGTTTAGCAAAAATAATGACAATTGTTTGGACAAAAAACAAGAAACAAAGTTAATATATTTTAGTTGTGACAACTGCATTTGGAACTCATAAAATGTGTGGAAAATAACTGTACATTGGCGTACAATGAAAATACTTTATTTTTCCTGTATCCAAATAAACACAACATACATGTCATATGCTCTTACATGTCCTATGTAAGAGCAGCCTTAACATTAGCCTGTGTTGATGCCTTCAGGTACTATGTTGACAACACCACTTATCCCCTGTTCGAGAAATGGTTCTACTGTGAGAACCTCGGAACCCAACTGGTGCCAATCATCAAAGAGTAAGACATCCTACCATCTTCATTGGTTCCTTCAAATCCATTTCTTTGAATTAAGTTTGTTAATTCCGGTTATTTGTTTTACTTTCAGGTTCATGGCATCAAAGCAGTGCAAAACAGAAAAGCCTGACGCAAGTAAGATGTTCTGAGATTTCTTGTGATTCTTAATCCTTATTTCTGATCTAAAGTCTTATCACCCGTAATCTGTTGTCGTCATGGTTATCTTTGGATGAACAGATGATGTGTTCAGAGACCCTCCATTCCAGATGAACACGATGAAGGTGATGGCACCCTTCTCCTTCAAAGACTGGCTGAACACCCAGAGGCCGACCCTGGCCAGCGGCAGCCCCATCGACATGTTCGGGGATCAGTTTGAGACCGAGGTACTACGAACATGTATTCAGACATGTTTTTATAAAGGTTTTCCACTTTCAACAGGGCTACGTTTTTCAATCTTGTATACTTATAATTTGATCAGATAGTTGCTGATTTAAAAAGCCATAGTCCATTTTACTACGGCACATCTTATGAAGCTAATTAAATTAAGTAAAGTCAATATTTATTTATGTAGCCCAAAATCAAAGGGGCTTCACAATCTGTAAAACATAAAATACCCTCGATGCATAGAACCTCTATTCATATAAGGGAAAACTACCTTTTTAACATGCATTTTCATACCAACAGACATTTAAAATATCTTCTAAGTACAGATTAAAATAATTAAAATAAGCAACATTTGTTTAGATGTACTTCAGAACTGGTCTTTCAGAAAAAGCCTGGTACTGTATACAAACGATTGCTACCGGTGGAAATGTAAACAACATCTAGCTGTATTTTCCAATAATTGATTTCCTAATGCTATAATGACATATTTTGTTAAAGCAAAGTGAGATTTTGGAATCATCATGCCTGTGGTGAATTACCATGACAAAGCTTGGCTGTTAAGTACTGGATATTCATTGACTATTGAATATGAGCAGATGTGATGTGCTGCACTAATGCTCTCTCTCTCTTGTGACAGGTGATAGTGTATGGACCTGGGCGCAACGAGTCGGCAGTACGGTTAACTGATGCGTGGGTTTGGCAGATGGTATGTTGTTCTCTTCATGGTGTGTTCCTTCTGTAGCTTCCAAACAGACTCTCAGTGCTGTTCAGATGCTGCCATCCCTGAGTACGATGTAGCGTTTGCTCATATGTGTGATAACCAAATCCTGTGTTAATAACCTCTCATCTCACAGGAGGGATCCTCAAGGGTAACTTTGAATGAGCAGGAGTTCTTTCTCGCTGCAGGACACAGTTTGCTCATTCCTGAACAAAGCCAGTGAGTAAATATTAAGGAGAAACATTAGCCGCTTTCACACCAAGTACTTTGCGGTACTTAGTTCCCGGTACTTGGTTCCCGGACCGGTACTTGGTTCCCGGTACTTAGTTCCCGGTACTTAGTCCCCGGTACTTAGTCCCCCCGAACTCTTTAGTCCCTGGAACTGTCCTGTAGATCGCGTTCACACCGGAATAAGTCCCTGAGGTAGTGATGTGAAAGAGCCGGCTCTTTTAAGCGAACGAGCCATTTTTTGTTTTGATTTTTTTGTTGTTATAGGGGACCTTTTATGCAAAATGCACTTTTTGATGTCTCATACATAAATATGTGTCCCCGGTGTGTCAGGTAACTCACAAAATGTCAGAAAACAAAACAACTCTAAAAAGAAAAAGAAAGAAAAGGGGCTGCTAACAAGCAGATTCAGAATTTTCGCTCCTACTACGTCATTGGCGACATCCAGCCGACGTGACACGTCCCAACCATAGGTCCCAACCTATCGTCTCCGGCACACGTGACACGTCCCAACCTATCGTATCCGTAGCTGAATCCCCTCTCGCAGCTGTGTGTCTGTGTATTCAGCAGGATGTCTGCAGGAGGCACTTAGAGTAAAGTTGTTTAATACATATAATGGCACTGTTCTAGCAGTAAACACTTAAGAAACATGTCAAGCTATGTGCTGTATGTATGTGCTCACTAAAAAGAGCCGGAATTCCCATCACTACCCTGACGGTACTGAAGCTTGTCGGTGGGCGTGTCTGGCGTGCGACCAACAACCAATCACATTAATCTCCCGCCCCGGACACACAAGCACGCGGTTTGATTGGCTAGAGCTTGTACTGGCATATGATTTGATTGGCTGGCGCTTCCGTCGACGCTTGAAAAGTTGAACTTTTCTCAACTTTCGAAGCGAGCAAAGCGACGCGACGGAACCACAATGCACCTCATTCAAAGTGAATGGGAAGTGTCTCCGTTGAAGCACGCGACGCTGCCGTGTGGACGTACCGATTACGCAAATGAAGTCGCTGACGTCACTTCTTCTTCTTCTGTTTTGGGTTTACTGGCAGGCCGCAAACAACTTTACGGCGTATACTGCCACCCGAAGTCCCCCGGAGTTGGCTTCAGCAGAAGCTGCTGGGTATCGTCTTCCGAGTAAATCGCCAGAAGTGCCAACACCTCCTCATCACTCCACCACTCCCATGTTTTCTTTTGTGTTGCCATAAGTTAGTCTCTCTCCGTTGGTGCGCTGGGCTAATGCTAATGCTAATAATGCTAATGCGAGCAAATAAAATGGCGGCTTCACAACACTTTTCTGAGTTTTACGGGGCGTGGTTTGCAATTCGCCCAGCCAATTAGAAATGGTTAGTGTGGCCGACACACCCACGAACCATTTCCTCCCCAGGAAAGTACCACCTCTATAGCAGGAACTATCTGGGGGTGAAAAGGTTTGCGCGAACTAGGTTCTAGTTCCAGGTCTTTTTGGTGTGAAAACAAAATCCCAAGATCTATCGGCCTAGTTCCTGGGAAAAGTACTCTTAGTATTCTTCAACCTGGAACTTATTTCTAACAATGTTTTGCGTCTATGTGAATAATGGGCCAACAATTTCAGGAAATCGGTCCGGTATGGTGTGAGTATTAATCGTACTTGGTTTCCTCTCCTGCAGGTACCAGTGGCAGAGAGATGAAGGGACTGTTGCTCTGTTTGTGGTCCAAAACCCTGAGCGGAAGAGACCCTGAACATCACACGGCCATTCACACACACAATTTCATTTCATTTCAAACCTTTATTTACCCAGGTGTATCCCATTGAGATCATTGATCTCTTTTTCAAGGGAGACCTGCTCAAGTAGGTTCCACATGAAACATAAAAACATAAACAGAACAACAAAAAGGACATCTTACAGCATCATTACAGGGATTACAATTTACAATAACTATCGACATGAGCAGGTACCAACAGCTTCCGATTGAGTAGCATCCAACCGAGCTTTAAAAACATTCAGTGGCACCAGATTGCTCAGTTTCCATTTCAATTGCAGACTATTCCAAGACAGAGGAGCTGCACATCTAAAAGCTATCTTCCCTAAGACAGTCCTAGCAGTTGGCACATTTAATAAAACTACAGCATGCGATCTCAGGCAGTAGCCACTTACAATTCGCTGTGAGATCAGGGAGCAGATGTAGGATGGAAGTTTCCCTAACATGGCTTTATATATAAAAAAAGATCACAGTGACTAGCCTTTTCCTGGCTTCAAGCGAGAAACAGGACTTGTTCCTGTAGAAGAAACCTAGCCTAACCCTCAGTTAAAATGCATCAATAAATGTGCCAGTGCAGTCAGTGCCTGTTTAAGGCATGCCGGTTCCTAATGGACCCAATTATTTGCCTGTGGTGTTTAACTACAGCTCACTTATGAGAGAAATTACACTAAATAAATCAATAGAGATAAATTGTGATTATTTAAAAAAAACACATGTTCTTCCTGATTCTCCCCTTTTTGAGTTTCGCTTCCCAAATGACCACATTTCCTCTTTTTTTCCCCTTAAAGCATTGGGTAGGCGTTACATTATGGACGGTTTTTACAGGAACCATGTCAAAAAGCCTCCCAGTCCAACTGCCATGTTTTTGATAAATTGTGTAGATTTTCTTTGCAAGTAAAAAAGTGTTATGAATGTTTTCAAATGAAATATATGTATTGCATGCATGCCACGTGCCAGTTTCTTGTTAAATCAACACCATGCATTTATAAGGGAATTGCCAAGAATACAAAACAGAACTGGCTAGGCATGATTTTAGTGATTTTTCTCACAAATATTTTACCTATTAAATATAAAACTGTGTACTGGGTGCAGACTTAATAATAAATACATATGTGTGGTTGTGGATGCATGATGTGAAAATGAAATTAACTTTTTCAGACAGGAATTACCACACACAGAGATTCCCATTTGTCTATTTAAGGCATACTTTCTGTTATCTGAAATTGCTGAATTGAGAATAGCTCATTCACTCACATTATTTGAATCAAGGGAGACTTATTTCTGAGGGAAATTATAGATATATCCATAAGATGATGAGAAATGTGATTAGTAGCCTACCTGTGTCACAGAGAGTGAAGTATGGTTGACCCAAATGCATGTCAGGAAGACTCAACAGTAAATACCTTTAACTTCAAGTAATCCAGGAAAAACAGAACTTTCCAAAGAACATCCAAGGAACATCCAAGGATCCTAAAAAAGAAAAAGACTAAACAGAAAAACTAGGACTTAAAGGTCACGCTGTAAGAAACGTACCGTGAAATTCACAGTATTTAACGGGCAGCAATTGACAAGTTACTTACTGTAATTCATTTTACAGTAAGTAACTTGTCAATTGCTGCCAGTTAAATACTGTAAAGGTAATCACAGTATTTACAAGTTTTTATTTACAGTAACAGTGTAAAATGAAACACAGTAACTTCCAAGTACTGTATTTGTGTTTACGGTAATAGTGTTTTAACTGTAAAATGAAACACAGTAATATTTAATTACTTTATTTTGTGTTACAGCAGTAGTGTTATAGCTGTAAAATAAAACAGTAATTTCCAAGCATTGTATTTTAGTTTAAGGTAATAGTATTTTAACTATAAAATAAAACACTGCCATTTAAAAAGTACTGTATTTTTGTTTACGGTAATAGTGTATAAATTGTAAAATAGAAACTTTAATGCTGTAATTTTAAGTTACAGTATCAGTATTGTAACTAAAACAATTTATTATAGTATACTTCATGTCATGCTGGTAATTTACAGATTACCAGAAATTCTTTAAAGCTCACCAATAACTGCAGTGAGATAGCAAACAATACATTTTAACAATGTATTCTTAATTGTTGAACGGTATCAAGACCATGTATTTTCTTGTGCTAAATGATAAATATTTTCATCCATAAAACAATCGATATTAATATCCAAAAACATGGAGATTGCATTTTTAAAACAGTGGCGATAACAAAACACAAAGAATATGAAGCCATTTCTTCTGCCAAGCCATTTTAGAGACGTGCTGTAGTTGAAAAGGTGTCACGACCTCGACACAAACTGGAGAACCCAAATGCACGACCCAGAGACAGTCTCGAATGTAACAAACATTTTCTTTTTAATGTCATTAAACAGAAAATCCCTCTAAAATAAACTTAAAACAACAAAACCTGACAAGACTGGAAACTATCCTCTCTTTGCCGAGGCCTGGCACGACCACACGTGGGAACAAACTGACACAGGACAGGGGGGAGACAGGACTATTTAAACATGAGGTGAGTGGGAACAGGTGGAAACAATCAGGGGCGGGGCAGACGCTGACAATGGTGGGAAAACACACAAAGGGAGGAAGTAACAGGGCCTGAAATGAGAGACAAGAGGTAAGTAGAAAATGAAACAGGAAATGGAAAACGAGACACGACATGAAACACGGGGACTTAACTAGAGATGAATGACATAAATCAGTGATTCTCAAAGGGGGGTACGTTGGGGTACTGCAGATTTTTTTAAAAAAAACTAAAAAAAAGTTAATTAAAAAAATACCATGCATGATTACAAAAATAATCTTAGTACAATAAGTTAAATAGAAAACAATTGTATATAAAATATTCCTAGAATCTCATAAACATGTCAAATTTGTGTATTGTATTTTATAGTTTTGCATAATATATCATTTTGTTCATTGGTTTGTTAAACAGATATTACTTCAGTTGAAAAACTCCTTTGAAAAATCAGTTTACATTTTTTTTCTTTTTTCATGCATAAAATGAAAATATCCTTAGTTTGTTGTAAAGGAGTTAATAAATCACACAGAGGGAACATCACTATATTGGAATTATTTGTATAGGCTTTTTCGATCAAACATTTTCGGGGTCGGTCAGGGGGTACTTGGCTGAGAAAATGTTTCAAAGGGGGTACATGACTGAAAAAAGTTTGAGAAGCACTGACATAAATAGACAGACCTGTCATGACGTGAATAAACATGAAAACCTTACTAAACATGAAATGACAGACATAAACATAACTAACACATTTGACGAGACACAACAAAAGGCACTGTTTGGTAAATACATTATCACTATTCTTAGATAATACACAATATTTGAAAACACTTTGAATACAAACAACCAAATGCATGCAGGAATGGACCCTGTACTGAACTTACAAACCTTACATGTGTAAGACATTTTTGATAAGCTTGCCGAGTACAGTTAGCTTAACTTGCTTTTTCACTAAGCGGCCTGACAAACTTTGGCTAGGTTTACATAAATTAACTGACAAAATTATTTGTATTAATTACTTTCTTTGTCTCTTGAGTTACCATGTCCATTGGGGGAGTTTACTTCCTGGTTCAGCAAAGGGTGTGGCCTAGCGCTGAGGACTCATAAATACTACAAGGAGCCAATTGGGACAGATTGGGACAAACCACCTGCTTCCATGTTAAAGGGGGGATTTGGGTTGTGTCTGTGTCCTTTGTATTTTCTGTTACTATTAATTATCCCTTGGTTTCAACTTGGTTTGGCCAAGCCACTATATAGGTTCCTTGGTTTTTCATTGTAGCAGGTCGACCAGGACAGCTGGTGGTTGACGTGAGTACGAGATTGAGAGCAGCTAGTGGAATGGCGTCTTTGAGTCCTGGAGAAGAGGATATGGAAAGTGCATCTGAAGGAGAAGGAGGATGGAATGAAGTAAGGAAAAAGACTTCAAGAAAGAAGATGGACATGTCAAGTGACAGTCTTAGTGAATCTGATTCACGGAATGAGTTGAAGAGAGTAAAGAAAAAGAATGAGAATGAAGATTGGAAAGTGATTGTGGAGTTTGGTGAGCAAACCGCAGCTAAGCTACATCCAGTGGCCCTGACTAAAGCAATTCACAAAGAAATTGGATCGATAAAGCAAGCAAGATTCCTGAGCAAAGGACGGATGTTGATTGAATTGATGAATGCAAAACAACAGGAAAAGTTACTGAAAATGAAGACCCTGAATGAAGTTCGAATTAAATGCCATGTTCCTGGAGCAAATCGGAAAATACTTGGAGTTATCAGTGGAGTTCCCATAGAAATCGGCATAGAAGAGCTCAAGAAAGAAATTAAAGGGGGGGAAAGTGTCTGTAGTTAAGCGTCTTCCTACTAGGTATCAGGGTAAGATAGTGGATAGTTTGTTTGTTCTTCTTCAGTTTGAAGAAACAATTCAACAGAAGATAATGATCGGTTGCATGAGCTTTCCAGTAAGAGAATTCATCCCTAAACCTCTGCGGTGCTTTAAATGCCAAAGGTTTGGGCATGTGGCAGACAAGTGCAAAGCAACTAAGCCCAGGTGTCCAACATGTGCGGGGGAACATGAATATGGTAGTTGTGCTGCAGGTGCTAAGGTGAAATGTTGTAACTGTGGTGGGGAACATAGTGCTGCGTATCAGGGCTACGAAGTGCAGAAAAAGGCCAAGGAGGTGCAGAGATACAAAGTGCAAAATAAAGTCTCATATGCTGAAGCAACAGAAAAGGTTTCCCTAAACATAGCTAGGAAATCCCAAGTAGCAGCAAGTATATTCTCTTCAAAAGATTTTCCCAAACTCACACAGGCAAAGGAAAGCTTCACAAAGTGTTCACATAAATGTGTGATAGGAGAGGATGCATTGATTGTTAATAAGTACAAATTTGTGGCCTTTATTGGGAAAGTGGTGAATGTTGCTTTGCAATAAACAAAAAAGAGGTCAAGACTGAAAACAATAGTGGAAGCAGCAGGTGAATTTTTGGGGATAAAGGATATAACCGTTGAAATGATGCATGATATGCTAGCCCCCAATAATGATGATTCACAGATTAGTGAGTAGATGAATGGTTTTTCTCATTCTGCAGT